GTGGGCGGTGTCGTGCCCACGCTGACGCTGGGCGGCGACGCCGTGCGGGTCGCCACGCTGGCGAATTTCTCTGCCATGGTCGTGGCAAGGCGCGCATGAAAGTGAGGGATGGCGCGGCCATGGGAGGCAGGCAATGGCCTGGCGCGGGGCTGGGCCGAGGCGAGGCGCTGCTGGGGGCTTTGCTGGGCGGCTTATGGGCTGGCCGAAGAGAAGTGGCGCCCATGAAAATGTAAAAAATCCTTTTTCATTTGTATTTTCAAGGGATTTTAAATGCTATCTTTCAAATATTATTTTGAGCAAGAAAATGACCTCTTTTGAAAATGTACCAAAAATGAAAGTTGTTTAGAATTTCATTCTCTACAACTTTGCTTTTAGGACCACAGCCAAATTCTTTCTAGATTTTGAATTGAAAGATCAAAGTTCACGTTTAGCTCAAAACCCTAATTTTTGGAATTTATTTTTGAAGCCAAATTTTGAATTAATTTGAATACACACATTGCTCCAAAAATTGAACTAAACATTGCTAGATGATTTACAATAGCAGCCAAACATGTTCTACTAACCTAGCAAGCAAGAATCAGAGCAAAACAACTCTAATAAGTGTATGCATCATTTACGTTTCACAAACATATTTCGTATGTTTCGAAGTAATGTTTCAGTTATTATATGCAAGATTATGCATGTATGATTAGGATGCTTGATGATGCATGATATGCATGATTTGCAGTGCCTAAATGTAGGCATAACACCGGGGTGTTACATCCGACATCTCGTCGTCGTCGGCCTCCGGTCCCTCAACGCCAACGCCTACCAAAACCAAGAACAACAAGAACACCTAGGGTTAATAGAAGATCATGAAGAAATCAAGAAGAAGAACAAAAGCGAACAGATCTAGGGTTACGGCTCACCTCTCTTGACAGAGCACCAGAGACAACGGCGACGACGACGTCGCGGAGACCCGACACCCTGGTACCTCAACGCATCAGAGCGGAGCCCCAATGATGCCGGACTCCGGCGAGGTCGATGAGAGCGACGAGATAGAGACGAAGACGAACAGTGGTGGATCTCGACGAGAAAGCTACATCAACGATCAGGGAGAAGGAAGAGTGGTGTAGAAGTGCCGTGTGCCCGTGCCAGCAACCGTAGCCTTAACTAGCCACCGGACGGCGGGAAGAAGAGAGGAGAGCGGCTAGGGTTTCAGTCAATGGGAGAGCTCAATGCGGCTGGAATGGGGACGGAATGAGCTAGGGTTTGGAAAGGCTCCGAGCCAGGAGCGGCGGCTGGCTTATAAAGCCGTCCCACCCGACCCCTAGATCCAACGGTCAGCAGGCGAGGGGCTCCATCCAACGGCTCGAGGTCGTGCCGCCCGTCTTGGTCGTTGAAGCGGCGCGTGCCGTCTTGCCGTGCATCGTCGCTTTGGCATCGCAGCCCGAACCAGCATCGCAGACGGGTCGTCTGCGCTTAACGCACGGCACGCAGTAGTCGTCGGCGGGCGCCGTTTTCGTCTGCCAATTCGCATTAAATGCGTGCTCGTGTCGGCCCAGTGGGCTTGGCCCATTTGGAAAACTTTAGCATGCGCACATGGCTAGCTAGCTTGGCTGTCTCTGTCTGCCTGCTGTTCCTTCCTTGCGGTTCCCACCACTTGGCACTTGCGCTCCACCGATCGAGCTCAATGGAGCTCCTCCTCCTTGCTTAAGTTAGCTCCCGGTGAAGGCAACGAATCTGCGTCGACATGCATTGCGTATGTAGCCAATAATAATGCAACGGCAATATAGTGATGCCCACTTATTGACGGCCACCATCATGGTTCAAGTCACAGTAATTAAATGAGCCTGCAGCTACATAGGAGTAGCCATTGGAGGCAAGAGGAACAAGATAATACATTTGAGGACGAAGGTTTTTAGGTAGCCAAGGCACATTTGATAGTCACTCGTTATCACACTGTTTTATCTAGTCTCTCGTTTAGTTCTTCATTTTTAGTAGCTATATCTATATGCGGAGAAAGTGAGAGGGTGAAGGATGTGATCAAAGGGGATAGATGACCAAGGCACTGGTGCCATGCATGAGCTCAATGCCATCGAAGAGTGTTGAGAGATGGTGCAGGAGATAGGAGGTCGGTCGAGCGGTGGTGCAGCCTAGAAAGAATAGCAAGAGGGAGGCAATAGATTTATGGACCTATTGTGCATAAGCATGAGCATGAGCACTCATGCCAGTGTAGCGGGATACGGTGTCAAAACGGCTCTACAAAACCATCCCGGGAGAGGGGGAGTGTCATTTGAACATTATCAAATGCTTTAAGGGCTACAATATTATGTTCGATATACAATTGAGAGGTTACGTTGCCAGCTCCTAATATGTTAGGAGGTTATGTAAAAAATTTCTATTGTTCGTTGACTTACTAGCATGTTGGCACCCATGCAGTTTAATAGGTAGAATATCTTATTTTATACGTGAGGAAGTGAAGTAAACAAACTACCAATAATTGTGAGAATTAAGTAGACTTTTTTCATATAAAGCATGTGTTTCTCCCACGTGGAGAAAAAAGACCTGGAGTGCTACTGTCTGCATTCATCATGCATATATACTACCTCCACCGTCGGCCATGCACCATGTCGACGTGTCGGCACTGTTTCATACACATGCATGCATCGCCATATATGGCTCGGTTCGCTTGTGCTATTTAGCCGGCTTTAATCCGTACAAATCAACAGTAGAATAGTATTTTTCTCTCACAATAAACCAGCCGTACAAATCAGCAGAAGCCGATTTAATATCAGCCGAACAGAGCCATGTGTCGGCCAGTCAAACGGTGGTTTCCTGATCAATCAGTAGTAGAATATTATTTTTCTCTCACAATAAACCAGCCGTACAAATCAGCAGAAGCCGATTTAATATCAGCCGAACAGAGCCATGTGTCGGCCAGTCAAACCGTGGTTTCCTGATCGATGTGCTATGGATCATGCATGCCTCACTGCACGCATAACGGCCAGAGAGAGGCCTGTTTTTTTTTTTTCTTGGAACCGCATCCCGCGGTGTCAACACTCGCAGGACGACGACGACGATACAATGCAAGAAATGGCAAGACGTGTAAGCCACACTAGTGGGCAGCTTGTGCTTCACAGTACATTTCCTGTGAGCGAGCTAGCTCACCAAATGGGTGGATCTATCGACGATAAGCAATTGGAGTGGATGTGAAGCCAAGCCAAGTGCTCCTATAGCTGGAATCTGGACCACGTTCATTAATTGTATATGTGTGTGTTTGTTCAAAAAAAAAACTGTTGTTGGGTGGCTTTTAAGCTTTAGAGAGGAGACAAACAAGCTATAGATAAGGGCGGGCATGCATGCATGTTCAAATTCATGAGGAGCTTAGCGAGATCCTGATCAGTAGTACCATACAACTACATGTTCAAATTCATTGTGACAAAACTATCGTATTATATAAAGTACTCCCTCCAATCCATTTCAAATTGTAGGTCATTCTGGATTTTTTATGTATATAACTTTATAGATACTAGCAAAAGTTATATACCTCGAAAATCCAGAATGACTTATAATTCAAAATAAAGGGATCAATAAGTTCATTTTATAGCGAAACCATAGGAGAAATAACGTCATCCGTCATGAATGAAAAAACAACCTCAAACCATACAAATTAAAATGGTCAAAGGATATCTTGTCGTGTTGTAGGTTAGAGAATGTATGATTTATAGTATTTGAGTCGGGGGAGGGGGCAGCTTTTCAAACTCAACAATAATTTCATCGGTCAAATGAACTTCACTAGTTGTTATAGTCCACACTAACTAATTTGCACATGTAAGGATCTGTTTGGATAAATAGGTGTGTTAAATTTTTAATTAAGCCTCCAACTAGTTGTTAGCCAACTAGCTATTAACTAGCCCTAATAACTAATATAAACATGCCTTAAGTCCAGCATAACTTTTTTTTAACTAAACATACACTGAAGAGTAAATTGCAACTAGAGTCTATACCCAGACATGAATACAGGGCGTAAAAGTTTAGAGGTTGGGCCGCTACCCGCAGCGCTCAGTTCTCAGGATATATCCCCCAACTAACCACATATGCATTTGCCTCCCATGATCACCAGCGGATCCTCTGCGCTGGCCGCCTCCCTGCGGATGCAATCACGTTCGTCGGATCGGGTGATCGACGACGGCCGAGGAGAAAGAGAGGTGTTCGGTGTGGCTGGTCTGCTCACCGGATGGGAAGCTCCAGCACGCACAGAGAACGTCGCTCTCGCAACGGAGACGTGCAAACCAACGTGGAATTTTGCTTTTCAGTTTTCTCAAAAGAAAAAATTGCTATTCTGTTTTGCAATAGAGCCCTTTTCCTTTTCCTTTTTCAACGTTTTCCATCTTGCCCTTCCATTCACTCTCATTGCTAGCAACTTCTTTTTGCGCGTTTATTTTAGTTATATATGTAATTGCCTTCTTAATGCATTTTGGTGCACTAGTTGCTGTTTATCAAGAGGACATTAGCTAAGGGTGGATATCTCAGGAAAAACAATGAATTTTCATTTTCAATGACATTGTATTGTTGTGATGCTATATTGTAACCGAGTTGATGAATAACTTTTCACTCTTAAAACAATGTTACCAAGGAGTAGTAATTCTCAAGAAACAAGGCACGGGTACATCTACATCATAGCAATAATGTTAAAGTTGACTTGTAGGGGCAGAAAAAATCATCATGATTTCTCTGTATTTGACCGTGTGGAATGAATCGAACCACCCAAAAAGAGCACAAAAAAAAAGTACGGAACAAACATAAATTTGCAGGCAAGAGAATTGCAAAAAAGGAAATAAAAATCGATAAAGTAGGAGGGGGCAAACTGCAAGAAGAGCAAAAACTGAAAACTCCAGCGGCGTCGCGACTCGCGAGCGTGCTCTCCCCCACTTCCTTCCCACTCTCCCTCGCCCCGGCCTCGCCATCTCCGCGCCGCGGCCGCCCGGCGGCCCCAGATCCCACCGGCGAGCCGCAGCATGGACCGTCTCCGGGCGGGGAGCCCCGTCTACGGGCGGCAGCGGAGCGGCAGCAGCACGGGCTCCTCCTCCCCCGGCGGCGTCTCCCCCTCGCACCACCGCTCCTCCTCCACCTCCTCCGCCGCCTCCGCCGCGGGTGCGGCCGGCATCTCCAACGTCCGCCGCACGCAGAACGTCGCCGCGCGCGCCGCGGCCGCGAGGCTCGCGCAGGTCATGGCCTCGCAGAACGCCGCCGCGGCCGCCGGCGACGACGACGACGACGACGACTACGCCGCCGACCACCCGCCGCCGCCGCCTGGGAGGTTCGGAAGTGGCAGGGTAGCGCACGGCAGCAACGGCGTGTCCCTGCTTGGACGCCCCGCGAGATCTCCCTCCCCTGCGGTATTTTGCTTCCGGATCTCTTGCTCGTCGCCATTAATGCTGCTTCTCTGCTTAGGGAACGCCCGTTCTGGGATGCCACTATGCGCAAACTAGTCCAAATTGGTCAAACTGAGGTCAAATTGTTACGAAACCGTCCATGATTGGATGAATTTGCAAATGAAGATAGTTCCCACTCGCTAGTGCTAGATCACCTTCTAGTAATGCTTGTTAAATCGTTTAGAGTTAGAATTGGGGGGAAATTGATCAGTGCAGTGTGTTAGTGTCTCGGACTTTCAGCTCTACTCAATTTCCCTACTGCTGTTCTGTGGCTTTCTGCTAATTTAATCTCCTCATGTTTTCATTAGTTAGGTCGGAACATTGTAGAGCCACCTCCTACCGTCCGCTCATCATCGGCAGGCAGGCCAGCTGTTTCATCACGACCGACCACCACAGTGGTGCCACCGATCAAAACCAACACGACACTGCGAACCCCATCCCCTATTCCACCTGTGGCTGTGGAGCCTCCAGTGGATCACACTCGGCCGAAAAGGTACACTTGTTACATTTCCCTCTCAAAGACGTGGAATATATGTTGTACGCTAAAAATAGACTAGTCTAAATTATTGCATGATCAGTGGTACCAGTGTCCCAGCAAATGCTGCAAAACTAAGTGAATTTACTTGTTGTACCACTCTTTGGAAGAAGTGATGCTAGTATGTCACTAACTTACTGCATCTGTCAGCTCTTGCTACGGGTTTAGTCTGAATTAGCATTTATGTATAGTTGCATCAATGTAAGCATTGTCCCCAATAAGATATGGTCAAACAACATTGCCCATAAATTAACCTGAAAAAAATAAACAAACAAAGAAGTGTTACAGTGTTTTTTTTAAAGAATGACACCAGTAGCATAAATTTGAAATAACAAAAAGATTTCTGTCCACTGTGTACAGTTGCAGCAGTAAGCTCCTGATGTTTTTATCTATAGGATGATTTGCATGATTGCTACAGTGTCACAGTGTGACTGAAATCTCTCTCAACTAAATTGGGAATTCAGGTACTAGATTAGATCTTCTGGTGAAAATTGTCTTACTCTGTCCCCCAAAAGTGCATTTCTAGTTTTTTCCTAAGTCAAAATATCTAAATTTTGACCAAGGTTATTGGTAAGATTATCAAAATTATGACACCAAATAGGTATACTATGAACATATATTTCATGATAGATCTAATGATACTTATTTGGTGTCTTAAATCTTGATAGTCTTCTCTATAAACTTGGTCAAACTTAGGATAGTTTGACCTAGGAAAAAATTAGAAATACACTCTTTTTGGGATGGATGCCAGATAAACACCTTTTCTATATGTTACAGTGAGTGCTGCATTGGTTTTGTTACAATGGAAACTGGGATTAAATGTTGTTGCATTATCAATTGCTACTTATAGCTTTGTTTTCTTTTCAACCTTTTTCTTTATTTTTGAAAGAAACAAGGGAAACATAGTGATTCAACCCTCCTTTTCTCTTTAGATTTGATGCGGGGCTTCATAACTCAAGAGAATCGGGACTAAAAAGAGAGGCATCCACGCTTCAAGATGAGGTGTTCCTTTTTCTCTGAAGATGTCACTTATATTTTTTTGCTCAGTTTTTCTTATCTAACTGTTAGGCCTCCTTTGGAACGTGGGATTTTTTCACATTCCTGTGTTTTTCCTATGAAAAATGAACTAAATCCTATGGAATTCCCATACAATTCCTGTGAAATTCCTGCGTTCCAAAGGGGTCCTTAGGGGTTCTGACTGTAACATCAAATACTTGAGAATGTATATCTGTGTCAAAGACTAATGCTATACTGTTATACAGCTTGATATGCTACAAGAGGAGAATGAAAGTGTTCTAGAAAAGGTGAAACAGCAATACCATTAATATACAGTGTAATGTAGTCAGTGTTTCTATGTGGTGCTTCAATAAATTATTTCTTAATCTTGATTGACAGTTGCGACTTGCTGAAGAAAGATGTGAGGAAGCTGAAGCTAGAGCCAAGGATTTTGAGAAACAGGTGAGATAAGATCGACTAAAAACATGTTATTTTTTTGGATTTGCTTGCTTCACGATGAGAGGGAGCAGCTCTTGGTGAAGGAGGATGAGATCAGACATATATGGCAAGAGTATTTTGATAAATTGTTCAATGGTGAGAACGAGAACACCACCGTTCATCTGGACGACTCGTTTGATGACACTAACATGCGCTTTGTGCGGAGGATTCAAGAATCGGAGGTCAGAGAAGCCTTGAAAAGGATGAAAGGGGGCAAAGCGATGGGCCCTGATGGTATCCTAATCAAGGTGTGGAGATGTCTCGGGGATATAGCTATAGTATGGCTAACCAAGATGTTCAACAATATCTTTCGATCGGACAAGATGCCTGAGGAGTGGAGAAGAAGCATATTGGTACTAATCTACAAGAATAAGGCAGATATCCAAAGTTGTACTAATTATCGGGGAATTAAGCTGATGAGCCACACTATGAAGTTATGGGAGAGAGTCATCGAGCAGCGCCTGCGAGGAACGACACAGATATCAACAAACCAATTTGGTTTCATGTCCGGAAGGTCAACTATAGAAGCAATCTTCTTAATAAGACAGGTTATGGAGCGTTTTAGAGAGCGGAAGAAGGACCTCCACTTGGTTTTCATTGACTTGGAGAAGGCTTATGACAAAATACCAAGAAATGTTATGTGGTGATCTTTGGACAAACATAAAGTCCCATCAAAGTACGTGACCCTCATCAAGGACATGTACAACAATGTTGTGACTAGTGTTTGAACAAACGATGGTAAGATAGATTACTTCCCAATTAAAATTGAATTTCATCAAGGGTCAGCCTTGAGCCCGTATCTCTTTGCCTCGGTAATGGATGAGGTTACCAGGAACATACAAGGGGATATCCCTTGGTGTATGTTGTTCGCTGATGATGTAGTGTTAGTGGACGAAAGCCAGGCGGTAGTAAATAGGAAACTAGAGTTATGGCGGCAGACTCTTAAGTCTAAAGGTTTTAGATTTAGCAGAACTAAAACCGAATACATGAGATGCGACTTTGGCGGAGTTGTACAGGAGGAGGGAGATGTGAGTTTGGAAGGTCAAGTAGTGCCTAAGAAGGATACCTTTCGGTATCTGGGATCGATGCTACAGAGGGATGGAGATATTGATACGGACGTTAGCCATAGAATCAAAGCAGGGTGGATCAATTGGTGACAAGCTTCTGGCATTCTCTGTGACAAGAGGGTACCACAAAAGCTAAAAGACAAGTTCTATAGAACGGCGATTAGACCGGCTTTGTTGTATGGAGCAGAATGTTGGCCTACAAAGATTTGACATGTTCAACAACTGAGTGTTGTAGAAATACGTATGTTGCGATGGATTTGCGGTCACACAAGAATGGACCGAGTTCGGAACGATGATATACGTGATCGCCTAGAGGTAGCACCAATTGAAGAAAAGCTTGTCCAACATCGGTTGAGGTGGTTTGACCATGTCCAAATGAGACTTCCAGAGGCACCAGTGCATTGTGGGGTCCTAAGCCAAGCTAATAATATGAAGAGAGGTAGAGGAAGACCGAAATTGACATGGGGGGAGGCAATAAAAAGAGATTTGAAAGCTTTGAGATATACCTAGAGATCTATGTTTGAATAGGAGTGCTTGGAAAGCAGCTATTGAAGTGCCTGAACCGTGACTTGGGGCTCTTGGTGGGTTTCAACTTTAGCCTACCCCAACTTGCTTGGGACTAAAAGGCTATGTTGTTGTTGTTGTTGTTGTTGTGATTTGCTTGCTTCACTGGGATACCTTTGCTCATTTGTAAGATGTGGTCTGAGTCTATCTCTAATGTAATTGAACCTGAACCTTAAAATACTGGAAGAATTTGGCCTCTCCATGCTGTGTAGGGTTTTATATCCATGAAATAATTGCTTCTTGTGTAGTGACTATATGCATGCTTGCTTAGATCATAATTTCTTGTTATACAGGTAGCTGCTCTTGGAGAAGGAGTATCATTAGAAGCTCGTCTCTTGAGCAGGTTTGTTCTGTGTTTGAATGCACATGTTTTATAAATCCACTACTGGTCATGACAAACATGCGCATGCATACTGGCAGGAAGGAAGCAGCACTTAAGCAGAGGGAGGTTAGTTTTCTTCTTGTGTTCTGCTATAGGTTGCTGTCATTCATATGTTATCATACTGCTCGTTTAGCCAATATTTAGATGCATATTTTCTCAACTGTTAGATCTTAAATGTTGTTTAATGTTAAAATGACGATAATTCCTGTGCGGAACTTCAATTTCAGTCTTACACTTTGTGTTGTCACTAAATATATTATGTTCAATTGTTCATGCTAAATACTTAGTGCTTCGAAGTTTCCTGAAATGATATACTATGAAAGCGCATGAATATATATTTTAAAAGCTGTTACAAACTAAATAGCCACATATAAACTTACTTATCCCTTAACCGCACTTTGATGCTAATTTTGTAACTCTTTATCGATACTTCATTCATCCTCAGGCCGCACTAAAAGCTGCAAGAGAATCAAAGGATGGTAGAGATGGGGAAGTAACAACATTAAGGCAAGAACTTGAGGTAAATATACTTCTGACAAATTTTAATGTCCAAATCTTTGTTGTATATGCTGCTTTATTATACTCCTATTGTTCACTTACCACGTTTGAATAGTCTGCCAAAGAAGAGGTTGCATCAGCAATGGACCAGCTAAAGGAGGCAGAGTCTGAAACGAAGGCTCTCCGATCTATGACTCAGAGAATGGTCTTAACTCAAGAAGAAATGGTGAGCCTGATTACTGCTCAATCCTCCTTTTGTTTTAATGACATGGATTTTAATCTAGTTAGAACTTTGTAGGAGGAGGTTGTCCTAAAAAGGTGCTGGCTTGCACGCTATTGGGGCTTAGCAGTTCAATATGGTAAGTTGCTTGATAAATCTTAATGGAAAAGTCTTGAACATTTTTCTGATTATACTAACTAGTCACTAGACATTTAGAAAGGAGGTGCTTGTGTGGTACTATTGATGAGAAGCATTCCATTTGCACATGCACTATTCATTTTTTATTTTTCTCTCTTCAAAGGCAGCTAAATAGCTTATTTACTGTGATTTACTTTATTGGATGAATTTCAACAAGATACCATGTTATGGGTCTTCTAGCCGCTCATCCACTGATGATGTTATTATATGGACATCAGCAAAAGATAACTATTCTTAGTATAGAGCAAGATACAACATTTTATGTAATTACTGTGCAATGTAATGACATAGCTTGTCTCTCAATGCTCATGCTTAATCTTCACACTAAACCTTAGCTAACCTGGCTGTCTTTAGTACTGTACGTGTATGGTTTGGCTGGCCCATGTCTAGGATTGGCAACCGAAAAGCAATTGGGCCTTGTCTGAAAAATGCACAGTATAGCCTGCCTGCATCAGGGGCACTTAACTGCTGATGTTTTGTTTCCCACCTTATTCATGATTATCTGATGATTGATTAATCAACTTCAAGGTGTGTATCCCGAAATTGCGGTATCAAAATATGAACATTGGTCATCATTGGCTCCTCTTCCTCTTGAGGTTGTTCTTTCTGCTGGTCAAAAAGCTAAGGAGGAACCTCGAAAACAAGGCAAGTTTGCATCCTTATAATATTTAAGTTGTAGATCTTAATTTATTCCATGCACCCCAATTAAATAATGGCTTGAAATTTGTTCATGCAGGTGAAAATGGTCAGGGCAGAAATAAACTTGCACGAGAAATGAGTGATGTAATGGGAGAAGGCAATATAGAGAGCATGCTTTCAGTTGAAATGGGCCTTAGAGAGCTTTCTTCATTGAAGGTGTTACATTCACTTCTTTTTGTTTCTAGATTTCTCCAAGGCAACGTTGCGGTAGCTGTTACTCAAATGTAGAGGCAACCTCCTGCGTAAGAAAAACCATGAGGGAAGACATAAACTCTCCTAATATCCTGAAACTGTTGGTAGGTTATTGTAATATCCAAAATTCCGAATGTAAAACTTAACATGCTGGTTCTGTTTTGCTTCTGCTGAAAGTTGGAAGGACTTGGTTGGACTTCCTACTGCTCAAAGTAACCCATTTTTTTTTATACAAAGGCTATTTAAAAGTTGGACAAATCAGTGAATCACAAAGGCAACAAGGGCTATTTTGCCATTATACTATTGCACACTTTCTCGCCATTTGTAATTATTGGCTGGCTACTCTAGCATGTTAAACCCAAATTCCTGTTATTGTCATGTAGGTGGAAGATGCTGTTGTAGTTGCACTTGGCCAACATCGCAGACCTAGCATAGTTCGTCAGTTCACATCAGGTTTGCTGTTTTTGTTATGTTTTTTCTCTTCATTCCAGTGAAATTATAATTGCTTCATTGCTTTAGTAAAATTTTAATGGCACTAAGTTTATGGTTGGGTTTCAGATTAGTTCCCTTTCATTTGCAATATAGTTTTCTTTCATCTTTTTTTTTTCTTCGAAAAACATCTGTTGTGCGAGATTAATGAAATTTGATGTATCAGTTATCGTCTGTTACACGTCTCATGGCAAGTTTTGAGTTAATTATGTGTTTGCAACATCCAAATCCATTTGCATAGTTGCATTGTGTTCTTCCAAATACTATCTCACGAACACTGTAATGCTACATGATAGTAACTATCTCATGAAAGTATGAAATAAATACTGACTGTAGGGTTCTGTGATGCCATCTACAAATGCATGCATTTGATTTTCTTTTCAGGGGGTTTTACTTTTAAATGCATCTATTCGCTTGCTTGCAGAGTTAGTAACTAATCAAGTTCTGGATTCTTTTGTTTTCTACTCTCTTTTTTCAGATTTCAAATCACCTGGTGAACCTAAATACTTGGAGGCATTTGGTACTACTTCCTCCACCTTGTCTAATAGGATTTCCGTGAAATTCCACTTTTACTGTATTTCACTACATGCATCCAGAAGCATTTCAGTCAGGTTTGTATGGCTTGGATTCAAAACTGAGACTATTTCTTCATTTTGCAGATCTTAGCCCAGAAGAGGCTGAAGATGTTAGCTTTAAGCAGGTAAACCTTCAGCCATGTGAACTCTGCAATTCTTCCATTATTATTAAACACGATTTACGAGATTCGCCCTAAATTCAGGCATGGCTTATATACTTCTGGAGAAGAGCCAAAACTTATGGTGTTGAGGAAGATATTGCTGATGACCGGCTTCAGTTTTGGATTGGTCGCAACGCACAAGCTCCAAATTCTCATGACGCTATAGATGGTATGATGCTTGCATGTTACTAGTTACTAAACTAATTAACTATTGGCAGATCTTGCTGTTAAATTTACTGATCATCATGATGCTCATAGGGTGGACTTAAATCTTTTCTTTTTTTTTGAGGCGCATGAGTGGACTTAAGTCTCCGCAGTTCCTTTTGAGCATTTGACCCCAAAGAATGATCGGGCAGTCTTATTGCTATTGAAAGTGCAAGCCAAAAGATTGTTTTAGATGTCTTTATGCATACACTAGCTAAAGATTGCTCTGCGAAACACACCCTTCTATACATGCTGTCTATTTGTTGTTTTTTCATGGCTTCTTGGCTTCTTGCATCAGATCAGTTGTTCTGGTCCAAGGTGGCATCTTTTACATTGTCTTCTGACTGCGGTTCTGTCAATTTTATGACTGCAGTGGAGAGGGGTCTAACAGAGCTCAGGAAATTGGGCATAGAGCAGCAATTGTGGGAGGGCTCGCGAGCAGATATAGATCAAGCTTCTTTGGCGATGGAGAATCAGTAAGAATTTGAGAATTTTCCATGGCTGTGTATCATCCCAGTTTTGGAGAAACGGGAACATCGGTTCCCAGCAGGTCTCGGGCCGTTGCATCATCAGGTATCAGTCACAGAATAGTGCTCCGAGCTTGGGGTGTGAGCGATGGACTTTGTCCAAATTCCGATGAGTTTGTGTAGTGCGTGTGCAAGCCATTCTTCTGTTATTAAAATTAAAATAGCTTTGTGAAATGTGTGCTAGCTTTGCGTTGGCAAGAGAACCGATGACAAAGACGACCTCACTTCCAGCAATTGTGAATTTTGTGATTATCCCACCTTGTTTATTCTCTGCTGTCGAGCTCTACTTCTCCGCACCAAGGAACGTGCGTGTTCCTGCAACAAATGAACGACATGATTTTGTACAATTCTCTGGATAGTACGAGTTTTGTGCTGGTGGCTGTGAAGTTTTAAAATCTTAAAACCATCACTCTTCAATACTGCATTCTCTGTTTCATGGTTGGTCTTCATCATCAAGCAAAAGATGTTACATTTTTGTGTTCCTGTGCTACTCCCTTTCCTCGCAGTTGGAAGTGCCACACTACAAGGTTAGTTCTGCTGTCTGTATTAGGCATTTGTTCATACATACCTGCGGTCTCTGTCTGTTCCCATTTGTTTTGTGACATGTTTGCGCCTGGTTGATCACGATCAGGTCACAACTCACCATCGGATCTCAAGCCCTGGTTCGTGGTTCGCTGATTTCTCATCATCACCTTGGGACTGGAGGGTAACGCAAGCCTCCAACACGGCAGGTACGCTAAGCGCTGGCTGTTCGCGCCGCCCGTCCCTTTCGCTCGTCACATGCCCTCATTACCAAACACGCAGCAGAACAGTGCCCAGCCAAGACTTGCATGCACGGACGACACATGCAGAAACATACCGCCGCCCTGCGTGCCTAGCTGCATCCAGTATTCCCATTCATTCTCACCCTTGGTTTTCACGACCAAGACATGATGTGTATGCTGTGCCCGTGCAACTCTCCAGACGGAGCCGGCGCTTGTTCCAGCCAGACCCTGAGCACCAAGATCTCAACCCGACAGCGGCCTCGTGTTATTTGGTTCGGTTTCAATGGGATCCAGCCATGGCCGGTTGCATGGCGAGGAGGGAAGCCGGCGACTCGGCTGGCCGGCGGCGATTGGTGAGGCGTCCTTGTACGCCGATTAGATGGGCTAGCTAGCAAGAATTAATCGCCCTTTCGCCTGCTGGAGAGGGAGAGGGGTCAAAATGGGTTTAGGGCCGTCACGGGAAGCCTGGGAGTGCCGCTCGCCTTTCCGCTTATTTATTCCCCCAGCTTCCCTTTCATAGCTTCCGTCGCCGGGCATTCACCCAATCCGTCTCATTCCCTTGCCAGCACGCTACAGGCCACCCCTCGCCGTCGTCGTCGGGTACGGTTGGCGTTGGCTACTAGCGCTGCAGCTGTGTGTCTCTGGGATCGCGCGGTTTGGTCTGGTGGCTCCAGAAGTCCAGATTCGTTCGTGTCTCTGCACTGTGCACTGTGCTGTGCAGTGTGTTTATGTGGTGGTAATGCTGGTTTAGCTCATAAACAACGATGAGGATCTAATCGTAAAGGTGCAAATGGACAGGTCTACTGCATTTTGTATACATGCATCTCTCATCTGCAATGCAAGTGGCCACTCAAATCAAAGGTGTCACACACCAATATACACCCTAAACGACTCTTTTTTGGATAGACGGAACATTTTCTTATCTCCAGGTTGCGATACGTATAGGAGTGTATGGATACATGTTGGTGTATCTGGTTTTGGTTTGCTCTGTACACCTAATTTGAAGATGATGTAGTGATAATTTATCTTTATATAATTTATATGCATGTTATGAAAAAAAATAAAGGTACTATATATCTGAAAGCAGTGTCTCACTGATGGTGGCCATTTAAAAATCAAAAATGGAGAAAGCTGCAACTGAACTACCACTGCCAGTAAACACCTGTCTCTCCTAGGGATTAGTAACCTTCGCTACTGGTAACACCTGCGTTACTGCAATAGTAGTAGCTGTAGTTCCTATCTTTACAAAGCTGGATGAACCGCTCATTAATAAAAAAATAAACAAAATCCCAACAGCAGATATATTATTATAGTATTATGCATTCATCAATTCACGGTAAAATCCCCAAATTGACCAGGAGGCATCTGAACTCTGGACGGCTTGACCTGAAGTTTCTTTTTTCACGCGGCCGTAGCCCACACATGGTAATTTCCTTTCCAACCGTTTGACATGTTGTTCTATCAATTTTTTCTTGTTTCTCTGAACAAATAAATCTTAAATTTAATTAGATTTATAAAAAGAGACCAATATTTATGATACATAATCATACTGATACGTAATAATACTTATTATGATGTGTAAGAAATATCAGTAGATAAATCATTGAATATATTTTTATAATAAATCTATTTAATGATACAAAAGTTGATATTTTTTTTTTCATAAATTCAATTAGATTTGAAAATTCTGGCTCAATCTAAATTTGAAATGAACTTTTCTTTAGAACGAGATAGTACTGCTGCCATCTGACGAACCCACAAGACGGAAGCCACGAATCAATTCTTCTCTCGTTTTTTTTTTTTTTTGTTTGCGACGAATTCTTCTCTCGCTCTGCAGAAAAGAAAACAACACCCGTGAGCCGTGGACCGTGGTAGACAGGGCAATCCTTTTGCCTTTTTTTCTTCTCTGTTCTCTCTCCCAGCGCTGGTAGGTTTACATTCCCTTGGCTTGCGCTGCGCTGCGTCTGGAGGCTCTGGCTGTCCGGCAGCGTCACAGGATGCGTGAGAGCTTGTAATTGGGAGATGCCGCGTTGCGTTGTTGCGTTGCTCTTGTGCACGCTCGAGGGACGAGGGATTCAGCACAGCAGGAATTCATTTCAATCATGTACCCTTCCCCTCATCCCCAAACCGTGAACAGAACGATCTCTCTCTCTTTTGCTCCCTCGCCGTCGCATGCAGTTTCTTTCTTCGTTCTTTCTAGTTTCTTCCGGTTGTTTTTTCTTCTACTACTTTCTGGAGAATTAATGGAGGGTGGGGATGGATTTCAGTATTTCACTGCTTCAGTTCTCTACCGTGTCCGTGATGAACTAACTACATGTCGCTAGGCAAGATGAGACGGGATGGTCCTTTCCTCTATTTCTATTTTACTATATGAAACATATAATAAGTAATGAATGTGGATTCTTTTTCCAAAACATTTTTAATTAATAATAAACCTATTGTTGATCTACGATACCTCTCTTCATAATCTTGCACAGTAGTGTTCATGCTATCTTTCCAGTAATAATATAATAAAATAATAATAACGTGTGAAAGTAGGACGACTATAGATAGATTAGTATTATTGTACAAACTATGAACGGATGCTGAAGACCTGTAGAGCCTCTTACATCTCAACGTGGCAAAGTATGTGAGGTGGGACAAAAAAAGTTTTACTAATACAATGCGTGTGTGCTAGACAAATGCTACCTCCGTCCCAAAAATGATGTAATATTAGGCTTGTATTGAATCAAACTTTCAAGTCCAGTTAAGTTTATAGAGAATATTATTAACATTTATGATTCTAAACAAATATACTACAAAAATCAATGCTAGTATTTTTTTAATCTAATGATACCTATTCAGTATAATCGATGGTACCTATTCATTATAATCAATGCTAGTATTTTTTTTTATAAATTCAGTCTAACTTCGACTCTTCAATACAAAACAAGAATTGTATCTTTATTTTTGAGACGGATGGAGTCCATGTCAATCTTGATATACTTTTTTTTTATCATCAAACGATTCAAAGGAGCCAAAACCCAATGCAAGGAGGATAGGGGGACGGGCAAGGCAAGGCTCTCTACACGCAAAGAAGAAGGGCAGCCAAGTAGAAACCGATTACCGATGCGCCAGACAGGTGGCTGTACAAGCATTTCGATCTGTTTCTGTGCACGGAACCCTTTCCCCGGCGGTCGGCGCCCGGAGTCGCAGCCGCAGCGCTTCCTTTCGATCATTCTGCTTCTGCTCCTACCAGTTCTGATGGAGTACGTGTACATCCATCCAAGCATGGATTCCACATTTCCACGTCACTGCTGAGCGAGTCATATGCCAGATTCGCTTGGCTGATAAGTTATAATTGAAAATACTGTTGGCTTATTTGTTGTGAGAGAAAAATATTGTTCATTCGCTTAAAAAATATGACTTATAAGCCAAACGAACAGGACGCTAATCACGCCAGATAATGCAAATGCAACTGTATTTGTTGCCGCATGCAACATGACACGACGACATCGCGTACAAAATTTGTTTTACAAAAAGAGTAGTGTACACGTACGCACACCTTATGCCTATATGTTAATAGACAAACTTTGTGGCAAAGGCGCTGAGAGATCGAAAAGAAAATTCCAAAATTATGCCAAGTATTTTTTACGTCATCTGTGCCATGCTACAACCAAACAGATCGACCTCAACTCGTGTTTGTGAAGGAAATCTTGTACACGATATTGAACATGCAAATGGGAGCACACACGCAAAAAATACGTCTTATGGATAGAAATGAATATATTGAGAAACCAAGTATATGGCACCGAGAAAATGGTAATATTTGGAGACAATAAACTTATTTCCTAATATTTGGAGAAAATGCTAATACTTGCAAAATGCTAATATTTATAGATAAAAATATGTCTTATAGATGAATTTCTGAATGTATTTTCATAATAAATTTATTTAGGCTAATAATTTCTATAAACCTAGTCAAACTTAAGAAAGTTTGACCGACATGAATCTCATAGTGATGCTCTTTTTTGAAATGGAGAGAGTAGGCATTTTAGTTATTAATCTAGCTATAAAAGTATGTGTCGCTTTGGAGGGCAGGAATAATGTGCCGGCCTAGAGGATATCAAAGGTTCAACAGAAGGAATTTAATTTGGTTCATCAAATGAATACTGTCTAGATAATTATGTGGTGATCTTATCAAGCAATTATTGTTCACCAAATTAATCAAGGGTGCGCCAAAGCCCAAGCCGGATTAATCCAGGATTATATTAACCAAATAGTTAAGCAACGCAAGTCGCCAATTGACAACGGCTCACCACACGCAAAGCACACCACCAGCCGGCATCCCGGCCGATTCTTGGTAAAAGACGAGCAACCGATCGGACCAGCAGGTTTTCCGGCTGCCAAAACAAAAGGCAACCAGCCTGTTCGCTTGCTCGTAAACGATCGTAAATTTCCAGCCGAGAACAGTGTTTTTCTCTCACACCAAACCAGCCAGCAGTAAATAATACACGATACGATACGGTCTCCCGAACTTGAAGCGGTCATATCCGGCCGTACACGTGTTCTGCGCACTGGACAGGCAGGCCCTTTTCTTGCTGCTTGGAACGCAACAGTTTTGTTGCATCATGGCACGGCATCACGTCACGTAGAGGGCATTTTCTGTACTAGTTTTGTTACAATTGGGACGGAATGCAAAATCTTGATAAACTTTGCGGCGAAGTTGGTGAGAAGGAAACAAAACTGTGCCAAGTATTTGTGATGTGGCATAAGAGCAATCCTACGATCAAACAAATCAACTTATATGTATGAAGCAAATGAGGTATGATTAAGGCTATTTTTGGCGGGGCTCCAAATAGTTCCGACTTCTATAGTAGGTGAAGGAGTTGGAGCCAGTGAAGCCCAAAAATAGTGGCTTCACTATCTCCTAGTCCATTTTGAAGAAGAGAGATCTACCCAGCGCGCACGTGCGCGTGTGCACACACGTGAAGGCAAATACGAGAGGGGAATGAGATATTAAAGGAGACCACGTGCATGGCAAGATATAAGTGTTACCACTTGCCACCAAGGTAATATAAAAAATAAATTATCAAAATATTTCATAAATAACTTACAAGAGTCGTTGCACATGCAATGCACGTGTTTATATGATTTGCAGAACAACCACCACACTCATAGATTTATGTCGGTTGATTGTTCACCATGTCTGCTTTTGCGACACCAAAACGACACTTTGGTAGGTTCGTTAAGTAAAAAACTACTTTTTGGCCCCGTTCGGCTTGCTGAATCTTGGCTGAAACTGGCTGAAAAACACTGTTCTGGCTGAATTATTGTGAGAGAAAAACACTGTTCCGGCTGAAAAAACAAGCCGGACAAGCCGAATATGGGGTAAGCCGAACATGACCTTTATTGTTGTCGGGTAACGCTCTATTAGGTAGGCCAACCCTCTTCTCTTTCAGTCTGGTATGTGCATGTGGTATTGTCGTTGTTTGAAGCCTTCATAACGCAACAAAAATGATAAGGTAACCGTAGCAAAAAAGACATTTACTAGAGTTTAGTTTCCTAGCTGGTAATCTAGTTCAATGGACTACAAAGCGCAACAAATTTCCGCTCATGCGTGTTACTAAATCACTTATCCTAATAGCTGGGAGGATAAGAATGCGTCAGTGTAGTAGGGGAGAGAGGTCGAATGGTGGTGAGGTTTAGGTCCAGCGGATGGAATAGATGGAAGGAAGAAGAGAATAGGGCATTTGCTACCTAGGTCTAACACTGAATAGGGCATTTGC